ATAAAACCATGAATTTGCTGTAAGGCTATAACTAAGTTAATAATTTAATTTATTTACGTAGTACAAATGGAAGCACATCTTGAGGCGCTATGTGGAGCAATCATGACAAAGAAGATAGAAGATCAAGAAGAAAGTAATACCGAGAGTGAAATTGGGGTTGATGAATGTGGAAGTCGAGTTACTTAAAATTTAAAAAATTTCAACTTATTTTGAACAATATATTTGTTGTGGTTGTGTTATATTCAGACTTTGAACAATTTGGTTGTATTTGTGGTTGTGTTATGTTTTATTCAAAAAAGTTAAATAGTCTAGTTCTTTTTTATTTAAAATTTTAAAATTAAATGGGTCAACCCAGGTTCAACCCATTTATTTAACAGGTTGGGTTAAAAAATCGTAAACATGTCAACCCACTATCAACCCATTAACCCAACAGGTTGGGTTGGGTTGAAAAATCTCAACCCATTTAATTGAATGAGTTGGGTTGAGATTTTCAACCTGTTTAATAAATGGGTTGAACCTGAACACAACTCAACCTGACCCATTGCCACCCTTAGCTGATGGTCGAGTGCTTCGAGATGCTCTTCTTAGGCCTCATGGATTAAAAATTCCAAGACCAGGTATAGTTTTTTTTACTATTTACTATATATTAACAAGTATAAGTTTTGATGGTTTATTAACTTAATTTATTATTAGGTAATTACTTGGTTGATGCCGGATACACAAATTGAGAGAGTTTCTTAGCTACTTATAGGGGTCAAAGATATCATATAAATGATTGGCATGATGGACACCAACCAACCACTACCAAAGAATTTTTCAATATGAAACATTCATCAGTGAGAAATGTTATTGAATGATGTTTCGGTATGTTAAAGACAAGGTGGGAAATCTTAAGAAATAACTCGTATTATCCTATTGATTTAAAAATTAGGATCATCATGGCATGTTGTCTTCCCCACTGTAACACTCCCAAACTCACATTGCATATAACACATATTTCATTCTTAGAATACATGTTTAAGTCCACAAAGGTCCAAAGTACAAGAAGCTATAATACAAAATACACAACTCAAAAATTCCAAAATACATGCTCTTGTACTACATATCATCTAATATCAAAATACATCCATCGATCTTCATAAGGCTAAGCACATAGAGAGATAATTCATAATTTGCCTTTCCCTTTACTATCATTATATTCAACATTTCCTGCAATACATATTTGAAAACACAAATGAGGGTTAGACCTAAAGGTCTAGTGAGATCCCTTTTTCCATGTAGTTGCAGGGTGAAAATCACCAAAATATTATTTAAATAAATCATTTCATATCTCAACATACAAATCCACATTCTGTTTGAGTCCATCGGACCTCTGGTTCCAAAGACCAGACTTAGAAAATATTCTAGCAAACAAGAGGACCAGAGCTTCTCTGGTTCCTCTACAAGAGCTTCTGGTTTAGCCAACCAGAGCCTCTTACTTCAAAAATTTTCTCAAAATGCTCAGAGATCAACACCATAGATAAAAAAATAGCTTTTCCAAGGATAAAAAACATATTTTTGAAAGGATCTTGTATAACCAGAGCTCTGGTTCTACTAGCCAGAGCTTCTGGCTCAAAATGCAAGACCAACCAAAGCTTCTGGTTTAACCCGCGTAGGTCAACCAGAGCCCCTTTGGTCTGTCTTTATTTATATAAAAAGTTTCTAAGTATAAAAATCTTTGAAATTTTTTTTAAAGTATAACTTTGACACATAGTTCTTATCTATAGATACAGAGCCTCAGTTTTAACTAAATCATTTAGTAAAGACTTGTATAAATCTCAAATCATCGTCCAGAACTCTCTGGTTCTACTATGAGGACCAACCAGAGCCCCTCTGGTTCCTTACAAGAACAACCAGAGCCTCTTTGGTTCCTCTTAAATCAAAGATTTGTTCCAAAATAGAGTTTATCCAAAACCATTGGTCATAGACCAAGTTTTTCCCTTCTCAATAACATCAATACTATCATTTCTAATAAGAACAACATCTCTGAGTCCTCAAATCACAAAGAAGTAAGAACTCAAAGCTCTTGCAATCTTAAAGACATAATAGCAAGAGCTATAATATCCACACATAATTGTCACCCTTATATCCAAAGGTACACAACTCCTTGATATGTCACCCTTATAGCCGAAGGTACACCTCTCCTTGATATGCCACCCTTATTTCCTCATCAAAATCTATGGATTAATTCCAAACAAAGATAGACCAAAGTCACAACCGTCTGATGAAACAACCTCCATAGTTTTATCCACAAAATCAATAGATTAATCCCAAACGAAGACAGACTGAAGTCACTACCATCTTGAAAGGATGTCCACTATAGTTTTTAACCAATAATGGGTTCAAAACAATTTTATCATCAAAACTTTGAATACTCAAGAACAACCAGTTCTTTCAACAAATTTCCAAACATCAAATCTCTTTTAAATCTTCATTCCAGGATATCATTCTAAAATTGTTTTAAAGAAGCAACCTCTTCTTTATCTTTCCAAAACAGTTTCCAATACTCAAATTTATAACAATATCACCTTTAAACTGTTAAAAACAAATTTACCATCTTTTCTTCAAAATCAAACATCAAAACCCAACAGTTTATATAACAACATATATAATGGTTTTAGTTATCAAAAACTCACCTTATTAAGGACAAATTTGCAGGTTCAACACACAACAATTCCTTTCAAAGAAACACAAATTCTTCAAATCGCTTTTGTGCAAAATCTTCTCAAGAACAGCCTCCACCGCCACATTCACACCCCTTTCTTTCTCAAAAGGTTTCTTTTTTCAAGATAAGATGATAAGATAAGATCTTATCCTTTTTACTTTCTTTATATATTTCCCACAAAGGCGGTGACAATTTTAATCATATAAAACTCCATTGGGCGGTGGAAGTTAATATTTTAAAAATCAACTTTTCTTAACCACGAAGGTACCATCTAATTTAATAATATATTTCACATAAGCATGGTACCGCACATTCACTTTCACATTTTCCACGTATGCATATTATCATATATACACATATCATTTCCTCATATGCATGCATAGCATCATATTCTCATGCATGTATGATCTATGCGTTTCTAAAATTAAACATGCATATTTCACATAATTCATATAATAATCACGCAAAATTACCTTAACCGGTGTTGCCTGGAACCTGGTTATGACACCCACAATTTTATAATGAAAGAAATGCCAGTAAATCCACTTGACAATGAAGGTGAAGTGGATGAGGGAACCGGAGACCTTGGAGTCGAAGACAGGGATAATATAAATGTTGTTGGTACTTCAAATGAGTAGACTGCATATAGGGATGATTTAGCACAATCTATGTTTGCTTCTTGGAATGCTACCAATTAATATGTATGATTCAAATGTTTGTTTAACTTATACTTCTAATGTTTGTTTAAATCTAATGTTTGTTTATAATAGAAATTATGGAGTTTGGACATGGATAATTAATTGTTGTTATACTTCAAATGATTCATTTATTTTTATAGGTATGACAAGTCAAATTAAAAATTATTGAGTATGGGCGAATATTGAAAAAACAAAACTTGTTGAAGCTTTAGTTACCATGGTGAATACGAGAGCATTCAAAGCCAATGATGACTTTAAATCGGGTTATTTAACATATCTTGAACAAGCGTTAAAAGAATCTTTGCCAGGCTCTTAGATTTTAGGAAACCACACATTGAATCAAAGTAAAAATAATGAAGAAAGATTGGACTGTTGTGCATGACATGATAAGTGGTTCATATACTAGTGGCTTCGGATACAATAGTGTAAAACATTGTGTGGTTGTTGAAGACCAAGTTTGGGAGTCGTATCTTCAGGTACATGCTAAAAAACTTGTTATTTATATTTGTGTAATATATAATCATAGTTATATGTATATTTATGTTATTCTATTATGAAATAGGTCCATAAAAGGGCGGAAAAATGGAAGAACAAAGCGTATCCTTTTTATGAGGATCTTTGTATTGTATTTGGAAAAGATCAGGCTCAAGAAAATAGAGCAAGAGATTTTGTTGAGGCGGAAGAGGATGTGCGTATAGAAGATCAAAAACAACACATGAATGATGAGTCTGATGACGTGATGGCAACTAGCAATGTTCAATGTGGCAATGCAAATATGCAATCGTAATAAACTTCAAGTGGGTGTGATACGAAGAGAAAATGTCGAGTAGATCCCATGGCCGACATATTCAATAATGCGGTTACTAAACTTGGAGAAAGTCTGGAGAAAATGGCAAACAAACTTATCAAGGGTATCGAATGAGAAGAAGAACTTGATAAGAAACGTTCGATGATCACTTATGAGATATCAGAAATGCAGTCATTGGCCCAACATGAGAAGTTTAAAGTAATTTCAATGATAAGAGACGATCCCGAAAAAACGAACATGTTTTGGGACTTGCAAGAAGCAGATAGGGAAGCTTATGTGAATTGGGTTTTGAATGAATGAAAAAATTTGGTGGCTAAATGTGTGGTTTTGGAAGAACAATTTGGTAGTTAGATATGTATTTTGGATTAATAAGTTTGTTGGTTAAATATGCATTTTGGATGAAACAAGTTTGGTGGTTAATTATGTATTTTGAATTAATAAGTTTGGTGGTTAAATATGCACTTTGGATGAACATGTTCGGTGATTAAATATGTATTTTGGATTAATAGGTTTGTTTGTTAAATATATAGTTTTGAGAAAATGAAAGAGATTTGATGACTAAAATATACAATTTTGAAGACATTGATATCAAAAATATAATTTATCAATAAAAAGAAATTGTTTATAAAACAAACAAACAAACAATTACAAAGGAAAAATAAAATATAATCTCAACCCAAATCCTACACACCAAACATAATTTATGAAGGAATCAAATTTAAATCCAATTCAATCCAAATACGTAGAAACACGATCCTGAAACCAAACGCTTTCTCTCCCTCTCTTTTTCGATAGTTAAAGGAAAATCTTTTAATCGGCCATCCTCTTGAGTTGTGTTCGTTCTGGTTTACGATCCTTCACCCCTTCTACCTCTCTACCTTTCTCTCTGTGTTTCCATGGCACCAGTGGCTTGAACAGCTTTCAACCCTTTCTCTCCCTCTCTTTTTCGATAGTAGAAACACCACGTATAATTGCAGCGAAGGGAATCTTTTTCTCGCGTCTTCCCTTCTTCTGCGTGCGTGTCGATTTCTAATCCTAATTTTATCAACTCAAAATGTTCTTCTTGGAATGATGGCACATTTCCCTGTTGGTGGGCTTGATCAATTACAAGTAAAATCTGAGAACGAATTACCTCTTGAAACCGCATGGTCAGATGAGCACGAATGTCTTCCGCTGAAGCAACGTTTGAAAATCCTACGATCCAAGTCCGTATCCAATTGCCCAGAGGAAACATTGATTTCAGCTGTGTAAGTTTTTTTGTTATTGGAGTATTTAGATTTTTGAGTTAGGGAATAATATCGACTGTTTGTTTTTGTTATTAAACGCAGATCTCCAATTGATGATGTTGTCATGGAGGAAGATGATCTCTGTGACTCTCAGGTAAGTTTAGTTTGCATTGAAAGAATTATGAGACTTCCAAAGGTCTATTAAAGTGGCTGTCAATCGGCACTGTTTCTAATAATCTATGCTTTAATCAGCAACTAAACGCCTAATAAAGTAGTTTTACAATGTCATTATGATATAGAAGTCCCAGAAGGAGGAAGTCTGGAAGTGTGACTCCATTCTGTTTAATTTCTTTCTTCTTTTCTAAATATTTTCTGAATAGATATTTAGGGGAAATTGGATACAACATGGGCAATATAAGATTGTAAATGGTTATTGGTGGTTCAGTTCAAAAGTAGGCATTTAATTCTATGCTGCATTACTTTTAGGGTTGGATCTTTTTAAAAGCCAAGAGGCTGATGGCCAGACCTCGTAACTCCACTTCTGTTAATTTGATCATGGATGCTTCTTGAAGTTCTTCTCCATTTCTAATATTTTCTATTGCTGCTGTCCATAGAAATATACCCATGGTTGGAGTTCGTTATCATACTTCGATGCATATAGTTTTGGAGTTCATCATGACCACCTTTTCCAGTTGTTTATTTTTTAGCTCATCAGTTAAGCTGTATCCCGAACATAAGCATTGGTAGGCCAACTTACATTTATTATGACAACTATTGAGCAATTCTCTGTTTCCTGTTGTATACTAGTTTCTTAGATGATTATTGACCAGGTAATTGGTTCTTTCATGTACTTGTTACTGTTATTTACATTTGAAAGTCGACATGCAGGTCTTTCATTTTGATCATGGAGGGAGCAAAGGAAGGTCCAAGATTGCCTCATGTGAACAAAGCCAACATGGTAATCTTATTGAGGAAGTACCCAAGCTTTTTTTCATGTCTTTCCATAGGGGTGGACTTGGTATGGTACCAAGTTATTTTCCTCAATACCATGTACCGACCAATATAATTGGGGCACAAAATCTTTCACCGTGTACCCAACCAACTGTATTTGTTATCAACTTTTTTCGGTTGGTACATGGTACTGTTTCTTTTTACCAACTTCAAGTTACATATGCGAAGACTTGCCATTTTGTGTTCAAATTTTGAGTGACATTTTGAGCTTGGTAACACATGCCATCTTTATGGGTTTTCAATTATAAAGAATAAAACTTGCAAACATTCGAATGCTCAAACAAAAAAAGTTAAGTTACAATGTTTAATATTTAATGCATCAAAATTACAAAAGTTAATAAATAATTAAATAAGTTGGTACCACCGTGGTACATGACTTCTAATACCCTGTACCAACCAAGTTTGCATACTTGGTAAGGTACTACCAACCGATTGTAATTGGTACGGTTGATACACATGTTAGGCTGGTTTGGTTCGATACAAATTTGTCACCAGTAGTTTTCCTTTTTCCAGCTAACCCCAAAAGAGAGGTTACAAAAAGAAAAAAGAACTTACTGGCTGCTTCAGGTGCTTCAATCACACAAATGAAATGTACCTTGTGGTCACTATGCACTTTGCTTGAGAAGATTGCTCAGTTTGAACTTTGAAGCATGTATACTTTTCTGAGTAGATCAATTAACCACTCTACTTAAATTGTGGTATCATCTAACAGGTGCAGTTCATGCCATTGAGTGTTCTCCCCTTCGAGACAGAATGCTGCCAGAAAGACTAGAGATAGAGTATAATGATGCTCAATACGACTCTGTAACTCAATTGCCTAACTGCCAACACATTCCTAGTGCTCATGATATTGAAATTTCTGAGGACTTCCTTGAGGATCTTGATGATATTGTGCTGAAAGAACGGCAGAGGATGCTGCTGTCAAGGTCTTCATCTATAGTTATAGTCCTCTTTTCTTTTCATATGTGATGTTATTCCTTTGTTAATACGCATGCATATAGCACACACCTTGAATTTACCTGCTAATGCAAGCATTGGATGTACTCAATGTTGCCACTTTTTTTCATCATTGATGTCATTAGCTTGCCTTCTTTTCTCATCTTCTTCCAAAATTAAAATCCCAATTTGCAGGGAGCTGGTGGGATCTATTGAACAGGCCATGGAGGTAATTTTTTTTCTTCACGACACACCATCTAATGTCTTGTGGTTTGAATTTCTCTCTTTCTGTTATCATAGTTGATTGGATAGTGTAACATAGTTCACTATTTCTTAGTGTTAAGTTCATCTTTGCTTAACTGTGAAGTGATTGGGGATGTTCTCTGGTTGACTTTAGGTCAGTAGGAATAGCAGAGGACGTTTCTTTAGGTTCTTGGTTCAAATCCAGCAGGTTGATGCTTTATAGTTTCTTGTGGATGTGTGACTGTGTATTAATGCTATTGATTCATCTCTATGTTGACGTGAACATTTGTCATGGTGTTCAGTTCAGGAGTACATCTTTATTTTGGTTAGTGAACTAGTTATATGACTGAAGTTCGTAGTTCATGAAAAAAGCTCTGCCTAGTAACAACACAATTTGCTTGTTTAGGTTTTGTTTTCTCTCGAATAGATGTAAGTCTGTAACTCACAGCTAGTTGGGTTTGGCTTAATATGAGAAGCCATGAGAAGTGAATGAGGCATAAAATATCACCACTGTATCATTTGAAGAAAATCATCCAGCCACAGAACTGGACACCACATCTTGAAATGAACTTAAGAAGAAAGTATACTTTTTCTGATGCCAAAAATAGATCAACTTCTGAGAAGCCACATATCATAAGGCTTTTCACCCTAGTTTCGTCTAGCATCACATAAACATTGTGTACACGTTAACCCCAAAAGAAGCTGGTGGGTAGATAACAAAACAAACTAAACAGAACCAAAGGGGTTTCCTCAAAATCGGCAACATGTTGTCACTGCCATTTCAAAAAATATCGGCCAATATCACCATGGATAAAGAATGAAGTCTTGAAATACGGGTACTTCAAGATACTACTGAATCGAAGAAACCATTAAAATGCAACCAGGACGTTTGAATTGGCATATGGGAAGATCTTTTTCATTAAGAGCATGCCATAAGAGGCCAACAAAGCAGAAATGCAACAGTTTCCGATGAAGTTTAGGACATAGAATCAACATTGTACTTCAATAGCTTTTTCCAGAAAACATCTTAACATCCACGATAAGAATATGATAGAATCAACAATTTCTTAATAAACGTAGCACAGGAGTAACTCTTCTGCTCGAAACAATTCTGGCTCTTAACTTTGAGGCTTGAGCAATACCATAAAAAGTGGTTTCCCTATATTCAATGCTAGAAAACGAGCTTCTGATATCATATTCTAGTAATTCTACTATTGTTAACCATTGCGCATGATTGCACAACGAGAAGTCATGCACTTAAACTTGAAAGCCAGCACACTTGGTTTCAGGTCGATACAGAATCTTACTTTTGATATTGACATCTGATAAGCCTCTCCTTTTATTCATGCTCTTAGCTCCATGCGCAAAACATGTTTCCTCAACATCCTTAACCTGCATATGATTGGAGTTTGCCAAAACAATTCAAATATCGGTGTCTAAGGATTCAGACTAAAATCACATAAAACAAATCACTGCAATTCAATTTCTGTCAAGGTTCTACACTTGCTTCTCATAATATATTTCAGAGTCCAGGAGCTCTGATCTTAATCCAAAAGATACACAAAACACAAGAAACGTAACTTAGCTCGAATCTATATGAAAGATGTGCTTCTTACTTCTGTACATGAAAATAGTCTCTTTATATCAATGTGAACTACCTTAACATAATCAAAATGCATCATCGGAGTACTAGACCAAAATCTGGAGCAACTTCGCAGCATAATGTGGACTTGTGGTTAGAGAGAGTTCTCATTCTTGATGAACATGAACTCATTCTACAAACATCCTTGCTTTCAGATGGCTGAAACTTCCCGATTCTTATGAGATCTCTGCAAGATCTTTCTGCAACTCCATCGACATATTTTCTTCCTCTTACTCTGAGTTAATGAGTTTCTTTATGACTTCTGTGGAAATCAGCTTCTATGGCAAAAATAGTGCTTTAATATGAAGGGAGGCGTGGCAACGATGAACGTGGACACTTGGTCACTTCACACACTGCTAACATACCAAATCCCTAAACATTCTTTTTTGCTCATTTGCTCTTCACTCATCCAAAATAAGGCACACAAAGAAGCACTTGGGCCTCTGAGCTCTGTGTCAGTGGATCGAATCCCCTCCAAATTCATTACACAGCAGTTCATCTTTCAAATATGTCCAAACAGTTAGAGATATGCCTCACTATGAATATGTCCTACTTTAATGGTAAACACTTTATTCTCTCTGATCCATCTCTTAAGCCTTTGAGCATTGATCTTACTTTACTCTCAATTAAGCATGTTAACACATACATCATATAACATCTCACACTCAAATGTAACAACTTTGAAAGCACACACATATAGAGCACAAGACATACCCTTTACAAGGTGTTACAATATAGCAGCATGCAATTATGACAAACTATTGTGTACTTAATACTGTTAGGAAACCCTGATGTTCACACAGTACAAATCATTTTTCTAATATGTCGAGTTCCATGTTTAAAATTGCTGCACTTATTTACATTCTATTTAGCTTCAAGAAGGTTCCTGTAAGCTCATTGGTTTATTGGATCTCTACTTATTTTATTTGATAGAGGTTGCTGAATTTTCATTTTACAGCATAACTTATCAGACACGTCTATAAATTCCGTTGACATGATTTCACAAGATGCTGGGATAGGAAGTGGAGGAAACAGTATTTGTGACATAGGAGGAAATGACACCTTTGAAAAATCTGATGGAAGTATTTATGCTTCTTGTGAGGCTTTGGAATCTCGTTCTTCAAATTGTACTACTGTTGGTGCTCCTGCAAGGAGATATCAGCATCAAGGAACTAGAGTATCTGAATCTCAGAAGTACAAGCATGTTTATGGAGAAGCCAGGCCATACTTTTCTGATAGAAATGCTATTAATGAACAGTGTTTGTTGTCAAGTTCCTGTAAGACTGTTTGCACATTAGCTTTACCACCTTTTCCAAATGTTAAAGTTGAACAATTAGATGATGAGTTAAAAATATCAGACAAAGATACTCTAAATAGCCAGTCCTTGGGTAACAAAATCTCTGAAAATAGCCAACATGTAAACACTGCTGAAATTTTTGAAGATATAATAGATCACATGATGCTTGGAGATAGGATGAGATTGCTGGCATCAAGAAAAATTCCCAAGACTACACTGTATGAGAATTTTGGGAACTCGAGTACGTTTGAGTCTTCCAGCATTGGCCATAAGCCTATTTTATCAGAGTCCTCAATTCCACTCATGAAGAAACGGCCACATAAAAGGAGGAAAACTGTCACGTAAGTGTCCTTGAACCATTACATATGCAAAATCATATGGAACAAATTCTTTATTTGGTTGTGGTTCTAACACATTGATGCTTACTTATGTTGAATAAATTCAGGGACTCAGTTGAAACAGCATTGGAGGAAGATGCACCTGGACTCTTACAGGTACTACTTGAACTTTATGGCTCATTCTTTATATAGATTTTTGGTAGTTAATCATTCTCCATCTATGACAGGTGCTAATTGAGAAAGGGGTTCTAGTGGATGAAATTAAACTTTATGGAGAAACTGAGGGCGATGAAGTAGTGGATGAAACACTGATTGAAGAGAGTTTTTCCGAGCTTGAAGATGTGATAGCAAAGGTTGGCAAGAATTTGAACTTTGATTGTTAGGTTATGCTCTTAGTGCCCAAAATAAATAAATAATACAAAATTTAGAGAAAGGAAGAAACAAATCACACTTTAACATGAAGGATTAATGGAGCTTTTAATATTGACAACTTATATTTTCATTCACAATTTTGGTAATCAGTGGACCTCTTTCTGCTATTACTTTACATATCTTGTCCAAAGTGAACAAAAATATCAATTATTTACATATTGAATAATCAGACTGCAAATCCATTCTTACCATTCATCCCTATGACATTTTTTGAGTTCATTGCTAATCATTCCATTCGTTGCTCCAGACAAAGTTGTAGAATGATTGTCTGACTAACTACCATGTTGGTCATTAAATTTGATTTTACTTATAGATGCTTGCACATGGCTTGTATTTCACAAAAATACTCATTGGTTATCTTACTCTCATCTACCATAGAAGTGTATGGCAGCTTCTTCAAGTGCATCTAGTGAAAATTAAGCATTTGCCACAGGTTATATGTAACGTAAACCACATTTAGTGAATTGATAGAAGACATGACTTTTTTTTGTTTATTTGTCTAATAAATGGCTATAAGTTTACCACTAAATAGTTGCATGTAGATCTGATCTATCATTCATGGGGTGACTTCACAGTAGTCATCCTAAACACTTTGCGAATACCTAAGAAGTTGAGTAGTATATATTTTCAGTTGCATCAGTGATATATGTGCAAATTTGTTTCTGACGTAGTTGTTTCTTTAACGAGACAGATTTTCTCCCAACGGCAGTCATTTTTTAAACTTGCTCCAATAAGGTGTGCGAAAGGTGAAAAGGCTAGTTATTGCTTGGCTTGCCTTATTTCACTTGTAGAGCAGGTGAGTAGTTTTTTGCATGTCAAGCTTGTAGTTGGAAATCTTAGCCGAAGTTTTGTACTTGTATAAATCATTGGGTATAGTTTGTGTCTTTATTTCACATGCATCTTCTTTGCCATCTGTTGTAGGCACGATATCTACGCGTTCGGAAGTGGCCAGTTGAATGGGGTTGGTGTCGGGACCTCCAGTCCTTCATTTTTGTTTTTGAGAGACAGAACAGGTTGGCCCATCAACTATGGAAATCATGCCTGAAATACCCTTCCCATCTGCCCATGATAAAAAAATATATTCAAATTTTACTTGGATGCAGAATAGTGTTGGAGCGTCCTGAATACGGATATGCAACTTACTTCTTTGAATTGGTAGATACATTACCTGTTCGTTGGCAGATCAAACGATTGGTGACAGCAATGAAGCTTACTAGTTGTAGCAGGATTACTCTGATTGAGAATAGAGCATTGACGGTAACAAATTTTCATTTTTTTTCTTTTCTTGTTTACGTTCTTATCTTAAACATCTTCACTGATGGGAATCCCGTAATTGTCACCTTAAACTGGATAAAATAATTACTCTTGTTCCATGTAGTTCAAGAATTTATTTATAATAGTCTCTACTCTGAGTACTTATTGGTTGTAAAGCGTCGCAAGAATGAGTCTGTTGGTTGATAGGCCTTCTCACAATTTTCTTTTAAATCCATGACCTTTTCATATACAAGAATGCCACTTCTATATTGCAAGATTGCCCCTAAACTTGTTAGAAGGTTATGCTGTTAATAAAATTATCATTTGATGTTATTGAACCAAATAGCAAAAACACATATATGATTTCAGAATCACTTTGATACAGAAGAGTTATTTAGCTAAATGACCTTCTGACAATTATGGCAAGTTTCTAGGCATTCTTGTATTTGTAAGAGGAATTCTTTTTTAAGCAGATGCATCCTCAAAACTTGCCAAAAGATCAGGGATTTAAAAAAAGCATGTCAGAAGGTGATTTGAAGTTTCATTCAAGAAATAAAAAACTTTATAGATTCACATATCCAACAATTCAATTCTATTATAGTCTTGATTTGAAGGATTAATTGACTTCATAATTCAAATAATGCTGATCAGAAGGGCAATACTGGTCCTGCTGCTGAATTGTAATGAATAGCTATTCATTTTTCATTATTATATGTAACTTCTTTGTAACTAGAATATTACAAATAGTAACTCGACCGAATTAAGGGGCTGTTTGTTTGCCTCTTAATGGTTCCATTAAGAGGCAACCTCTGAATTGCTAAGAGGCAAATCATGTTTGCCAAAAAAAACCCTACCTCTTAATGGTTTTAAAACCTCTTAGCGATTTTTCATCCAGGATAACCCCTAATCGTTTAGAGGCTCTTAAGCATACTGACCACTTAACCATTCTGTATGAAACCATTCAGCTTTTAGTTGGGATAACCTGTAAGCAAGACCTAGGACAAAGAAAGTGACTTAGGATTCTCAGAAGCTGCTTCAGATTTAAGAACTTGAAAGGATGTCATAGGCATCTCTATACTTGTGTAAATTTAAGGCTGCATTGTTTGCACATGTTTGGTTTAAGTCCATTCCTTGATTGCTCCTGAATTTGCGTATTTTAAAACAACTGGACTTTTTTTCGACAAAATGATCTGGAAACTGTTTTAAACTTCAAAATAAGGACCCCAAATAGATACACCAGATCCTTTTTTCATGCAAGGCTTGACAGGTCTTACATGTTTACTATTGACGATTTCTCCCTCATCAAATGCGCTGTGCTTCTTTCTTCCTGTTACAATGTAATTGAAGTTACTGCATGTTCTGGCATATGTTTTCATTTATATAATCACAAAGAAGAAAATGGATTTTTTAGGACACATGTGCCTTCGTAATGGGACTTTAACTTTATAGGACAAAAAGCCAGATTCTTATTCAAAGGCACTACAATAAGTTGTTAGGATGAAATTAGGCGAACAGGTTCTATCTATATGAAGTTGAGCACTAAGGCTGCGTTTGGTACATGGGACAGGACGTGACAAAACTCACTGTCCCACGTTTGGCATGATATGGGACAGGACAAGAACTCACTGTCCCACGCTTGGTGCGACATGGGATAGGGATAGGGACAAGAACTGAGACATGGTGGGACATGGGACAAAAAAAGTTTTTTCTTGTTCCACCAAAATAGGTGGAACAAGATGGGACAAGAATGAAATTGAAACTAAAATATTACTAATCAACCCTTGTTTGATATATAACATACTTGTTTTAGTGGTCACCACCGCGAGTTGCGGCCACCGCCACCACTGGTAGCCACTGTCGGCCACCTCTACCCCACATCCACAACCACCATCGGCCGCCAATCACCACCGTCCATCGCAACTACCGCCGTTGGCCACCTCCACCTTCTCTTATAACTACAACAACCTCCCCCACCCCATCCACAACCATCACAGCCATCGACCAACACCGTTCATTGCACCACCGTGGGCCACCCCATCTCCACCATAACCACCACTATCGGCTACCACTACCATTATCTACCATATTCAGGTCCTCCACAACCACCACCGTCCATCTCCACCATCACTAGTCTCGTCGGCCACCACCACCTCCACCATAACCACCACCACTACCCACCTTCACACCTACCTCCACCACATAGGCCACAACTACCTCCACCACTGTCGACCGCCACCACCACCACTATCCACCATCATCACCTCCTCAACAACCACCATCGTCCACCAATTACCAATGATAATACCTCCACAACCATCGTTGTTGCAACAATCTTCACCGTGCCTAAACCATTTGATAAAGATCTTCCAAATCGAATAAAACATAATTTCTTCTTTGTATGATTAGGTTTTTTCAAACTACCATCATTTATATTAAAAAATTAATTCAAATTTGGTACTAATTTATATTTACGTATATCAAAATTGTGTAAATTTTTTTATACATTAAATTATTTACTATATTTCTATTATTTATAATTATTATATGATATATAAAATCATAAAATAACTTTTGGGGGCAACTTATATAGTTCTGTCCTCTCCGGTCCTAGTCGTCCAAACACCAGACAGACACTTGTTCTGTCTAGTCCTACTCTCTTGTCCTGTCCAGTCATGTCGTATCATATCCGCGTACTAGACACTACCTAATTGAACACAAAAATCAAATCGTCCTGTTATCCTCTTTTGTGACATATTAAAAGAAGTGTTATCTAAAAATGTCCTATAGAAAGGAGTTCTATTTTTTGTTCTATTAGGTGTCTAACTTCATCGGTAGAACCTGTTAGGTCGCTAACTTCGCCTTAAATTGGACGCATTTTTTGGTTTCATTATCTTAAAGTCCTGTTAAGTACTCTATTAAGACTCCCAAAGACAGTTGTGCGTCCTAAAAGACCAATTTTTGTTGTAATGAATGGTAGTTGTTCAAAGTACAATAAAAATGAAAATAAATTTGTGTTTCAAACATCTTTACCTGTGTGTAGGTTGGGGATGATATGACAGAAGGTGAAGCACGGGTGTTAATGGAATATGGTTGGATACCCAACAGTGGTTTAGGAACAATGCTGAACTATTGTGATAGAGTTGTTCATGACAGGAAGCATGAGAGCGACACCTCGGAATGGAGGTCGAAAATTGGGAAATTACTTACTGATGGTTACAATGGTGGAACAATTGTCCCAAATGATATTCCAAAGAAAGTTATGGAATCTGGTATCAGTCACACCTCTCAAGTCAAGTTAGAGCAGTAGCTAGCTAAAGGTTAGTAAAAACCGGAAAATTTTCTTTTTTTTCTTTTTCGAAGTGGTTGACCCCCCCTTCATTACTAGCACTGAGTTTTGAACCTACAACAATTGGCTCAAAGGACCCCATTTGTACCAATTCGACCAAAGCTCACACAGGTTCACTAATGGTTGGTTCTACGATGGTATACTTGCAAAAATGAATTTCTTTTGAGGAGAAACAAGTTGTAGAATTTGCATGCGGATCATGTGGTGCATAATTGAGTTAGTATGTCTAGCATAATCTTTCTCCAAGCGTAGTACAGTTGGTTCCAGGACAGTATACTGGTTTCGTGCTAATGAAATGGTAGGTAAAAGTCAATTGATGTTATTTCCATTTTCTAAGGAGCACAACTCTTGACAACTACAATTGAAGCTGACTTTGAGGATATAGTTGATGCAACTATTGAATTTTTGTTTGTGCTTTAACAAATCCCTCTTTTTGATGATTGCAACAAATATTATCTATGGGTAGAGCCTAGATCAAATTCTTTATGCATTGGTCATTTTTTTTTGGTTAACTGTAGGTGCCTAGATCAGTTTATGCGTACCTCGACTAATTTCATGGGTCCTTGAAGATAATGCTCAGGAAAATTCTCAGAGGCTAAATGCCTAGCCTTTATTTGCCTGTTGAGCTAGCCCTCAAGGTTAGCTTTATCCATGGAATCCATTTTCCTTTCTATAAACAGGATGTGATAGGAGGTATTAATGCGGATTGTATTATAGGTGCTAATTGTCGTTTAGCTGATAAACTGATGAATGATTTGATGGTGGTATAAACAAGCAAGGATATTTAGTATTTTTGACATTTTTTTAGATGCATGATCTTTTGACAATGTAAGAACATTTTTGCACAACAGAAGAATGTCTCTTTCTAATTAAAGAATGCTCAAAATTTGTCAAAAGATTACGTCTTTATAACTTTTTTTTTCCCAGAAGGTTGTCTTAAAAGAACTCTAAGCAAGAACATAGTTGGGTTATATAATCTTTTGACAGTTTTTTAAATGTATGACCTTTATAAATTTAAGAATACCAATATATAACTATATAGATTTGAACACTTCTTTGCCTAACAAAAAATCTCAAGATCGTTAGAAAGTTTATGCGAAAATTATCGTCTTAAATAACCTATTATTGCAACCAATTATTCTTTGCTAGAGCAATCTGCGTTATTTAGAAATACGACTTTAAATGAGTTTTTAAATAAATTCATCACTTCTGGTTTATTAAAAAATAGTTTTATAAAGGTCCTTTAAGATTATATAGGTATAAAATTGAAAATGGTAATGACTTATAATTGAGTCTACTTTTTATATGAAATATTTTAAATCGTGTGATGCGTGGTAGCGAGCTTAAGCCTCAGGTTTTAAGAGTCACAGCTAGACCATGGCGTATTTTAAGGTGTGATTTATATTGACAAATATGTATATAACAAATATGGTTACATATATGTTTCTACTCTTACTCTAATATATGGCCATTTATAATTGCCTTATATAATAAAACCTAACACAAAAGGTAACAAGAAAACTTGAAAAAGTAAAAAAAAAAATTCAAATAAAACTTTACGAAGACCGTGCATTGGACCATGATATGCCATTGACTTAAGGTGGCATTAGAGATGAGCGTTTGTGCCACAATGGACGATATGGCACACCCTTTAAAACATTGATATTAACAAAAAAAAAATAGGACCAAATTACACACATTGAGACTCATATCAACATTAAATCTTATTCTCGTAGTAATGATGTTAAATTACCTAAAAGATTATGTTGAAATTTGACTCATTTCAAATATACAAGGGACATAATTGGAAAAAATAATAATGAAGAAAAGACATCGAAGCTTGTTGAAAAAGCTATCTAAAGACTTTGTTGGCAAACATAAGCCAGCTCTATAACCTAATTTGTTTTGAGCTTATAGAAAGAGCTCCATCTAGTAAGCATTAAAGAAGTTCATAAGCTAATTTGTTTCAACAAGTTTGATGAACTTTTTTCTTCACTTCTTTTTCACAATTATTTCTCTTGTATTTTACTTGAATGGCAGAAAACTTAGCGTTTTATGTTATGTAACATTATCAGCTAATAGCTAGTGTATTAGTCTATACTTGTTTTTTTATGCTAATATACATAAAAACACCTAATGATCCAAGATGAAAGTAAATTGTAAAAGTCTTCCATTCCTGGTTATGCATTCTATGGGCTTGAACCCTTTCATAATTTGGGTCTTTATTTCTCAATTGGGCTCAAAATTATGAGCCAAGTCCACTTAATCCAACACAATTTACCTCACATCAATTAATATCATTAAATAAAGTCATACATGCTATGATGTTTGTACATGACAACCATAAAAAGTTTCATGCATTATAACCAAAATTTTCTATTTACAGGACTCATAAACCCATATATATAATATCCGAAGAATGATATGAGAAAGATTTAAGGTGAGAAGCGTAAGAAGGGATCTGTATCCTTGATCATCTTTAATTTTAAACCTACTCATGAATCGTGTTTGATACGGGGATTAATCCAGTGCATTTTGGTGCATCTCATCCTAATATGCATCCAAGGGTGGAGATCGCTTCTTATGCTTCTCCCATTTACTCATATTATCATCGGACTCCAATTCTCTCTCTCTCTCTCTCTCTCTCTTTATATATATATATATATATAGGAGCGATCAAATGAAAACCGCCCTCATTTGTGTAAACCATGTAAACCAACCTCATCAATTCATTTTCTTGATCAATGGTTAAGATTAGTTTAGGTTATATTAGGATATTAAAAAAATTAAAAATTAAAAATTATTTTATAATCCCAAAAAAGGCAAAAATGGTAACTTTGTTAGTGGTAATATTAATGGCAACCATATCATGTATATCGTAATATTAATGAAACAAAATAATTTGTAAAATAATATATTAGTTTTATGTTCAAATATTATAAAAAAATAACATCCATCATTAAAATAGATCAAAAATAAAAATAAAATATATTATAATCAATTTAACATAATGAAACCTTTTGAATAAAAAAAAAATTTACTACTACATTTCATGAACGAAATGGTTTCACAGTTTCATCAATACACAAATCAACGTAATGCTAGATGAGACATTTGTCATTTTCAAGTTTCCGGTAGAGGGATCCGTTTCAATCTAATTATGAAATGGTTTCACTGTTTGCAAATTAAACAACATGTTCATAACAATTATGAAATGATTTCACTGTTTGCTAATTAAACAACATGTTCTTAACGATTATGAAATGGTTTCACTGTTTGCTAATGCCTGATGAGACATTTGTCATTTTCATGTTATTGGTAGATGGATCCGTTTCATTGTGATAATGAAATTGTTTCGCTGTTCGCTAATTACATAACATTTTCTTAACAATTATGAAATGATTTCACTTTCTTTATGCACCCATTTCATTGGCCAATATTTTCCAATCCGAACACGTTTCATAGAGTCAATGCATTTACCATTACATGGTTTTGTTAACCATTAAGTGAAAAAAATCATCCAAAAAATAAAAAACAAAATGAAACAATTTCATCAAATATGTTGATAAGAAAACAAAATTATGCAAGAACATTATATTACACAACCAATTCATCCCCAAAAGTTTCATAAAACAAGCTCCTCAWTGAACGTTTTCACGAACCAATCTGCATACGTTTCATAAAACAAGCTCTTCAATAAACGTTTTCATGAACAAATCTAACATGAATTTGTTTCACAACTGATTACATTTTTACCGGTTCATGAATCTTTGTTTGGATCTGTTACTGATTTCCTGAATTAATGAATATAATAATTTTCGATTTTCATATTATTACACTAGTAAACCGAGAAACCAAATAACAATATTCAATTTTTAAAATTCAAATTAAATAAACATTTAAATATTACCATTTATAAAATTTCTTTTATTATGTTATCTTAATTAAGATTTATTAATAACTTCCATATTTAATAGAAAACAATGTAAATGACAAATCTACCCTTAATGATTAAATTTAATTAAGAAAAATAAGAATTTTCTTATTGGTCAAAATTAACTTACATGATTTCTAAAAATTAAACGGTTTTCATTTAATCACGCCTCTTTTCCCCTCTCTATATATGTGGGTTCTAAAGTAAATAAGGAAATAAAATAATTCACATAAATTCTAGCGACCCATCTAATAAAATAACGCCTTAAATAAAAGATTCTAAAAAACTTAAAAAAAAGACATAAAAGTGATTTACATTTATAAAATTATTTAAGTTAATTAAACAAATATAACTTTAAGATTAAGTCAATCATTCAATTGATTTTCTTTACTTTTCCAAAATAATCAATTTTTTATTTTTAAATATTAGTTACCATATGTTATAAATTGACAAAAACTTTTAATATTAATTACTTTTGGCAATAAAATAAATATTTAATATCATATTTATAATTTTTCTTTGAATTACCAATAATAGACGTTAATAATGAACAATGTTATATTCATGCGTTTTAAATCCACACATTACAAGCGGTTGATCGATTAATTTATGTTAATAATATGTGATTTTTGGTCGACTTCTTTTCGGATTGTGAAATTATAAATTATTTACTTTAAGAACACCACTAGAATATTCATTGATATAAACTTCCATATGAATTTTGGTTACCCTGATTCTCAACTATTCCACTTGCTTTTTCCTTTACGCTTAAGATGTGATATTCAGGTTGTTTTATTTTTGGAAGTTTGTGGGCTGTTTTTGCATTATACTTATTTTTGAAAGTTCTATGTAGAAATTAGAGAAACCATTTATTTGAGCCATCTTCTCAACATTTAGGTTCTTTACCCTTCTTTAAAGTATGAGTGTAGGTGTGAGTGTCGAGATAGATTTTCAACAGAGAAAGAGAAAAGAGGCTTGGATTTTGCAAGTACGAATCCTTTCTTCTACTTCTTTTACTTTGTCAAATTTCAAGTAATTCAGAACTCAATTTATTGTATAAGAAGTTGTTTGATGATTCTTTGGAAATCATTGCAAATAATCAAAATCCAAGTACATCAGATAAACCAGAACCAAGTGTAAGATGAAGCACTTGCTGATTCTTCCTCACTTTCACAAAGTGAAGAAATCTCTGGGCAAACTAATCCTACTTTGGAACAAATAGGTCAAATTTCTGACTCTACTACTTAAAATAACAATCCTGTTGTTTCAGAGTTATCCATTTCAGAGATACAAAAATTTGAGGGGGAGCAGCAAGAGGAACAATCAAAGATTCATGCTATTCATGATGAGAATGATAATCAAAACAATCGGACTGTGATCCAAACTCTACATAACACAAACAAGTGGACTAAGGATCATCCCCTACATCAACTAATTTGTTGGGTTTAAATTGTAATTGTAATCAAAGTATAGGGACTTAGCTTGT